GGGGCGTTGGCGTGGCGACGCTCACATGGACTCGAACTCGTCGATGCGCTGCTTGGTGTTGCCCTGCCGGATCTGCCGCAGCGTCTTGTACTTGTCGCGGCCCGCCTTCACGTTCTCGGCGTGCAGCAGGTCGTTCGCCGTCTTCTTGCTGTCGTCACGGGCCTCCGCCAGCTCCGAGCTCAGGGCCTGAGGGGGGGTTAGGGTTAGGGTTAGGGTTAGGGTTAGGGTGAGAGGGTGAGCAGGTGAGAGGGTGTGGCCCAAAGGAGATCCCAGTCAGACTAATCAGATCCAGTTTTTTTTTTTTAAAGTACGATCCCACACGAGCATTAGCATTAGCGTTAGCATCTCCTAACCCACAGGTCTGTGTCCTAACCATTGAGTTGTTATCAGAGTAAATCCCTGTTCAACTTGAGTCTGACAACTAAGTAAGTAGATAAATAACTTTAGACTTTAACACATGCTCTGATAGGCCGGGATCGGATCGGAAGTGAAAAAAACTGGATCGGGACATCCTTAGTCAGAAGTAGGGTTGTCACGGTACAAAAATGTTCAACTGGATACCGATACTCAGGAAAATATTCGATACTCGATACCATTTTCGATACCATAAGGATAAAAACAAAGACCCCAAAATGTAACTGAGTTTTGACAGGTTAGTGTTTTTGGTTTCAAACTGGCCGATGGCCTGCATTAACATTTGCGTGTTATTATTAGCGATCGGTTGGATGTCCAACTCCTCCCACATCCAAGTCGGCCATTTTGATTAGGTCATGTGACTAGCAGCTTTCTGAGGTGGAAACAAAACTTTGCTGTCTAAACGAAATCGGAAGACAAACGATGTCCTAACCCTAACCCTAAACCTAACCCTCCAGCCTTCATAATTGTGATAAATAAATATTTTTTTGGTTAAACTTGTTTGGACTTATTGTACAAACCTATTTAACATCCACTATTTTAACATAATATTATGTATAGAGTTTAATTCAGTGTTTGCAAGATTCATTTCACTATTTTTAAATTAATGTCTATATTGCCATGAAGCAATTAGGATTTTCTTGCCTGGGATCTTCCTATTGGTCACCAAATCAAAATGGCTGCCTTGCATGTGGGTGATTAATGTTGGCGTGTTGTTATTAGCCGTGTGTGTGTCTCTACCTGCAGCTTCAAGGCTAACGTCATGCTAGCAATTCAAGGCTAACGTCACGTTAATGACCGACTATTCTTAAATGAACGTCTACATTGCCATGAAGCAATTACGATTTTCTTGCCTGGGATCTTCCTATTGGTGACCTAATCAAAACGGCCGCCTTGCATGTGGGTGATTAA